AGCGCAGGAGGATTCCAGACGGCCCCAGATGGCTTGCTGCCAGGCAGCACCAGGTAGTCACCACCCACCAAACCACCCCAGCCCAACCCGAAGGCTCAGAGTTACCCTCGATTTCTAGTGGGGGGGGGGTCCGGGAACATGGAAAAAACACATATGGATCCCGTACCCCCCCCCAACCCGAAATTCGGGTCTTCGGGTTGGGTTGGGGTGGTCTGGTAGGTAGTCAGGTAGCTCAAGGTGGTTTCAAGAAGGCATCATATGCCCCCAAGTGGCCCCAAGGCGGCTACGAGAGGACCCCCGAAAGGGCGCCGGGGGCAAAAATCCCAGCAGATGTGTTGTCTCGAGCCTAACAGCGCCCAAGACAGCCGAAGACGGCCCGCAGTTCCAAGGGGGCCCCGAGACGGCGCTACAGGCGCCCAGGACCGCTCACGAGCGCCCAAAGGGGGCCCCAGGAGGGCCCAAGACGCCCCAAGAGGGCCTACACGCGAGCCAACAAGGTTCCCAAGAGGGCCCAGGCCGTCCAAAGAGAGCTCGACGGAGGCCCCCGAGAGCCCGACACCACCAGTTGGCCTCAAAGAAATCCCTAGGAGGCCCCCACGACGCCTCCAGGACGCCTCCCAAGAGGCCCCCGGGGCTTAAGAAATGATTCGCACAGGCTCCCAAGGGGCTTTCCAGGATACTCCAAAGTATCTCAGAGGCCCCCTCGTCTCGGAGAGCCCTCTGGCAGACTATCGCGTTCGGGGTTTCTCATCCTCCTCCTCCTCCTCCTCCTCCTCCATGCTTCTCTTGCTTCCTCACCTTCCCTCCGCCATCGTTCTTCCCCACTCTTTCTCCGCCAGCAGCTGCCTTCTTTCACTCCTCCTTTTGCTCCGTCCTTCTCTGGCCCTTCCTGCTTACCCCCGGTCTGGTCGCCTGGCCTTCTCCACCCTGCCTTCTCCGTGCCCCCTTCCCTCTTTAGCAATACTCGACCCTCCATCCTCGACCTCCTTCCTCCGCAGATCATGTGGAGGTCTTGAGGCGGCTGGAGTCGCCTGGGGTTGCCGCAGAGTCATGATTTGAAACCCACGGTGCGCGAAGCGTGCGCGATTGTTCTGGTGTAGTATGTATGTGTGTATGTATGTATGCATGCATGCATGCATGCATGCATGTATGCATCTATGCATGCATGAATGCATGTATATATGCAGGTATCAGTATATGTATGTGTCCAGGCATGTGTGTAATGTAATGTAATGTAATGTATTGTGCTGTAATGTAATGTAATGTAATGTAACGTAATGTAATGTAATGTAGTGTAATGTAATGTAGTGTACTGTTTTGTATGGTATTGCATTGCAATGTAATGTATTGTAAGGTAATGCGTTGTAATATACTGCAATTCAATGTAGTGTAGTGTAATGTAATGTAAATATTCTCAGTGTCGTGTAATGTAATGTAATGCAATGCGATTTATATGTACATGCATGTATGTGTGTATGCATATATGCATGTATGTGTGTACGTATGAACGTGTATATGTATGTATGCATGCGCGCATTCATGAATGTATGTTTTCATGTGTGTATGCGGACATGCATGTATACATGTATGCATGCATGTATGTACGCATGCATGCATGTTTGTATGCGTATGTAAACATGTGTGCATGAATGCATGTCTGTAATTTATGTATGTACGTATGCATGTATGTATGCATGTATGCATGCATGTATGTATGCATGCATGCATGAACATATGCATGTATGCATGCATGCACATATATATATATATATGCATCTATGTATTTGCATGTTTGTATGTGTCTGAACGTATGCATGTGTGCATGTATGCATGTATGCATGTACGCATGTAAGCGTGTGGGTATGCATGCATGTATGTATATATGCATGCATGTATGCATGTATACATGTGTAGGCATTTATGCATGCATTTATGTATGTATGTATGTATGTATGTATGTATGTATGTATGCATATATGTATGTATGTATGCATGTATGTAGATACACATGTATGTATGTATGTATGTGCATATGTGTGTATGTGTGTATGTATACATATGTTCGCATGTATGTAGGTATGCCATTGTGCATGTATGTGTGTGTATGTTCGTACGAGGGTATGCATGTATGTACACATGTAAACATGTACATATGTATGTATGTATGTATGTATGTATGTATGTATGTATGGTATGTACGTATGGACGTATATATATGTATGTATATATATACATATATATATGCATGTATGCATGCATGCATGCATGCATGCATGTGTGTATGTATTAGTGTATGTATTCATGTACGTTTGTATGCATATTGTGTAGGCATGTGCGTTTGCATGTGTCTCTGTATGCTAGGCATGCAGGTTTTTATGTATGCATGCATGCATGCATGCAGCGTGCATGTATGTATGCACGTCTGTGTGGAGGAGGAGGAGGAGTGGGCGAGGGAGACGTGGATGATGCGCAGCAGAAGGAGGACGCTCTCGCAGCGGAGGACATATCGGGCGCCTTTTTCAACCCGGCCGTCACTGTCGCCGTCTTCGCCAGCGGCAGGAGGGCCGACCTGACGCTTCGCGTCGTTTTCATTTACATCAGCGTGCAGGTGCGCCCATGCCTGATGCACGCGACGCCAGGCGATAGAGAGAGAGAGAGAGGGAGAGAGATACAGGGAGCTTCTAACCAGCCAGGGCACGGGCCAAGGCCAGGACCGCGGGGGGCCTCCCTTCTTCTTGGCTCCCTGCCACTTCATTCCCACCGGAGGGGGATGCTGATACTGAGAAAGACCAGACTCCACGCCTCGTAAACTTCTTTAACCGTTTTCTATGATTGTCTGGCTCGACTTTGTTCCTACATCTGTTTGGCTCTGCTCGTTCACCACTTTGCTCTGCGCGAGCACCCAGTCCAGCTCCTCCCCATCACCTTCTTCGCCTCCTTCTCCTCGCGTCCTCTCCTCCTCCTGCTCCTCCTCCTCCTCCTCTCCCTCCTCCTCTCCCTCCTCCTCCCCCTCCGGGTTTCGGCGTCCGTCCGCCGGCACGTGGTTTCGCTGGCGCCACCAGGCATGCACCGCCCTCCTCTGCCCTGCTCGAGGCAGAGGCCCAGAGTGCGGGAGCCCAGGCCACCCGCGGGGTCGCAGAGGGTGGCCGCGCGCCGCGCGGGCGCGGTGCGCGAGGCGGGGTGACCTGGGAAGCGGCGCAGCTCCGCGTGGGGGCTGTTGGGCCTCTTTTCCACCACCACCACCATAGATTGGAGGGGGGAGGGGGTTCTCCTCCTCCTCTTCCTCCTCCTCCTCCTCCCCCTCCTCCTCCTCCTCCTCCACCTCTTCCTCCCCCTTCCAACTTGTGGTGGTGGTGGTGGTGGAAAACAGGCCCATCAAAGGTACTCCTGGGGGGAGCACGCGCAGCCAGCCTGGCCCCCCGAGCCTCCCTCCCTCGGCCCCCGATCACCGAAGAGGCCCGGCCCGCCTGCCTGCCGTCCTCTCCCTCGCGCCCCCTCCCTCGACAGCGAGACACGGCCGCGCGAACACACACACACACACACACCTTGCGGAGGTCAGCGCGGGCTTTTGGGAGGCTGATGCTCAGGTTCTTGTTGGGCTTCCTCCACTCCTCCTCCCTCGTCAGCGGGGCCCACCTCTCGACTCGACCGCTCCGCTTCGATCCCGACTTTGCCCAGCTCGATCTGCTTGGACTTCGATGCCGCAGCGGTCCGATGCGGCCCGATGCCTGCACACGGCGCTGTCGTGAGCTCCGGCGTGGCCGTCTCGTTCTGTTCCCGAGCACTCGTGCCGACGCCGGCTGGCCCGATCCGACGCGCCCTCGGTGAGTCGGTCAGATTTCCCGACCCGGTGCTGACTGGTATCGTTTTCCATTTCTCCTCCCTCGTCGCTTCCCTTCTCCTCACCCCTCCCCAGCAGCAGATCGGGGATGGGCAGAACCCCCACCCCGGCACGTCGAATTAGTGAACTGTCCGTGTTCGGCTCTCGAGAAGGGCGCCGCGGCCGTCGTTTTCCAGGTTCGTTCTCGCGAAACCACGTTTTGCTATTCGGAGTCGATAAGATTTCCCCACTCGATGCTGACTGATTTTGCCCTTCCACTGCTCTTCCCTCGTCGCTTCCCCTCTCCTCTCCCCTCCCAACAGCAAAGGGGCACCGTGGCGTGACAGCACTGCCGTTTTTTTTTTTTTTTTTTGCACAGAGGCTCCGCGTAGTTGCGTGCACAGGGCGCGAGTTGGGGCCTGCCCTTCCAGGCCTCCGGACAAACTTCTGGTCTGAGCCCACCCGTTTGGTGGAAGCGTCACTAAGGGTTTGCCACCACAGGCCCGACCTGCCGACCCCAAAGTTCGCCCCGCATGACCTGCATGATGTTCGGTGCGGACTTCACCCGCGAAATGCTGAGCTCCCTCTCGTCGCTTCCCTTCTCCTCTCCCCTCCCCATCCCATCGTCGCCGCACCACCTCGCATCGCTTCACCAGGCCTCCGACGTCGTGATCTCTTCGGGTTTTGCAAGCCTCTGGAGCTCTCGTGCCCCTTGTGGGCGACCCTGCTGGTCCAAAGCGGGCCTCCAGAGTATGGAACAATTCTTTTCAATCTTTTTAGATTTTGGTTCTCCAGTCTTCCTCGTCGACTGGTACATTCGAACATCATGTGAAGATCGATCCGAATTCCGTTTCTGGCAAGATAGTTGTGTACACAGCTCAGCACAGGCGGGAGAGACGGGTTTGCAGTAACGCTTCCCCACCTCCGCAGCCAGGGCCGCCGACCATCCGATTCGATGCGACTCGATTCGCCAGCCACGGCCGCGATTCCGATTCGATTCGATTCGATTCGGCTCGATTCACCGACCCAGGGCCAGCCAGAGCCAGGCGCAGCGATCCGATCTCGATTCGATTCGGGACGATTCGCTGGCGATGCGACCCGTTTCCTATCCGATCCGACTTAGCGATTCGATCCAGCGCAGGCCAGGCAGCCATGTGCCTCAGAGGCCCCACATGGACGATGGTGTGGGGAGGGGAGGGGATGATGATGATGATGATGATGATGATGATGATGATGATGATGATGATGATGATGATGATGATGATGGTGATGGTGATGGTGACGGTGATGATGATGGTGATGGTGATGGTGATGGTGATGGGAGGGGAGGAGGGGGAGGAGTAGAGGAGGAGGAGGTGGGACGCGGGGCGCTGTCTCTTTCAAACGAGGACCCAACACCACAGGATGGTTGGGAAAAAGTATCCCCACCGGCCCATCCACAAACGATGCCCAGGCGAGTTGCCTTGATTAGGGAAGCGGAGGAGCATGCATTGGATCAAATTGGAAGAGGAGGAGGAGGACGATGAGGAGGAGGATGAGGATGAGGATGAGGATGAGGATGAGGAGGAGGAGGAGGCGGAGGAGGAGGAGGAGGAGGAGGAGGATAAAGTGGAGGAGGATGAGGAGGAAGCGGAGTACGAGGAAGGGGAGGGCGCCCCGTCATGGTCCAGGGGAGGGGATAGGGGGAGGGGCAAACCCTTTCCCGAAGGGGAAGAGGGGGGTTGGAAGAGAAGCCTCTTTAGACCACCTACGCCCAGAGGGCTGGTGAGATTTTGTCCGCAGGTCATTCGAATCTCGTCTCGGCTGCCTCGTCGGGTTGACCCCCGCCGTGCAGACGCTAGTGGAAGGCCCACGGAACCCTTCCGGGATCGCTGAGGTGGTCACACCCGATCCCTGGGTCCCTCCCCCCTCCTTCTCCTCCTCCTCCTCCTCCTGCTCCTCCTTCTCCTCCTCCTCGTCCTCCTCCTCCTCCTCCTCCTCCCTCGCCTCCTCCCTGGATCCCCCTGCCGCTCCTGGTGCGCCCAGGCGCAACCGAGGACCCACGAGGGGCCTCGCTCCTCGCCACGAGGCCCCTCGTGGCAGCAGCTGCAGGCTGCCGGCCCTCGCCCCCGCCCGCTGCTTCTCGCGGCTCTCCCTCGCCGAGGTCATGGCCGGCATGCTCGCCTCGTCGACCTTCGCTGCGGTGCACGGAGCCCCCCAGCGCGCGCTCGCCAGCGGCGGCGGCGGCGGCCGCGGCGGGGGCTGCACCCTGGGGGACATTTTTTGATCGGGGGGCGCGCAGCTCGAAGACGAAAAAGCGGCAGAGACATCAATTTTTGGGTACACTGATTCTGTAGTCGATCCCCTGCTCGACTTCTCAGGGGGCGGCGGGACTTCTCAGACGCCCTCCGACCTTCAGGGAAGTTTTCCGTATCTTCGGGGAGGGCTCCGAACATTTTTTCGGGAGGCCGGGGGACTTCCGAGCCTTCTGAGAAGGCCTTCTCTCGAAGAAGAATAGACGGCATAAACATATTTTTTGGCTCTCCGCACGGGTTTCTCGGATCGGCGCCTGGGCCCCCCCCCGGCGGCGGCGCCTCCGGCAACGGGGGGTGAAAGCGCTGGCGGGGGTGACCCACCGTGCTGTCTCGCCGATCTCGATGCTTCTGCTGCGGTGCTCTCGGAGGCTTTCGGGGCCCGCCCGAGCTGGCTCGCATCGGCTGCGCCTCCGCGAGAGCACCCCCTGGCGACGCCTGGCTCGTCCCGACCGAGCGGCCGCCTGGGTCCCGACTTGTACGGTTCGACAGTCCAGCGCAGGGAGGTGGCGGGGGTCCGCGCCAGTGTTAGTCAGAGCGTGAATTACCTACCCCGCTTTCGCTTCCAGGCGAAACCAAGCCATACCACGCGCCTCCTCGTCTAGCGGCCTGACCAGTACAGGCTGCAATTTGGCATCGTTTGGTATCTCTTGGAAGCGAGGGTGGTCAAAAGCGAGGTAGGTTTGTTTTCCTCCTAGTTAGGTCGGGCAATCCCTGGAGGAACAATCAAACGGCATGAGCACAACCTCTTGGCGCTCCGCGCGGATTTCTGGGATCCGCGCCTGGGCCTCTCGGGGTGCGGCGCCTCCGGCGCCGAGAACCCCGCGCGGAGCGCCAAGAGATCATGTTCATGGCGTTTTTTTTTTTTTTTTTTTTTTTTTTTTCTTCTTCCAATTTTGTGGTTCGACAGTCCAGCGCAGGGAGGTTCAGCGAGCGAAGAACGGCATAAAATCAACTTTTTCGCTGTCGGGGGCGCCTGTCCCTGGGCGGCTGGAGAGTTTGTACCCCTACGGTGCCACCGTAAGGGTATAAGCTTTCAAGCCGCCCAGGGACAGGCGCCCCCGACAGCGAAAAAGTTGATTTTGTACCGTTCTTCGCCCGTTAAGAGGTGGCGGGGTCCGCGCCAGTGGGAGTCGTGCACTCCCCTCCCCTCTGGCTGGCCCAGGTTTTTGGGGTCCGCGCGGAGCCTCCCCCGGCCTCCCCCGGCCCTCCGCCGAGTTGGGTCTTTGGGAGCCTCTTCGTGGCCGTCTGGGCGCCCCGGGTCAGGAGGGGAAAAACACACACAGACAGAATTCATCGCCGATCCCCAGAAAATAGGGGAAAATATGGGAAGTGTTGGGGAAGACAGAAACCCAGAAAGTGTGGGAAAATATGGGGCATCTTTTTATTTGTGTGTATTTATTTGTGTGCCCCAGGGCCCCTTCACTGGGGAGTCTCACCGGGGAGGGCCGAAGTGGAGACGGGACGAGTGGGTCGGGGGCGGAAAAGGGGGGTGTGATGACTAGGGGGGGGTGGATATCATGGCGTGGGCCATGACATTTCCCCAGATGTCATGGCGCCTCTTATTACTTCATTACGTCCCTGGCCCCCTCGCTGGGCCGCGCACATGCCGCCGGTCATGATTTGCACCCCCGCCTCTTGGACACCCCCCTCTTGGCCGCTCCCGAGTGGGACGAAGGCCAACAGCAGTTCCTGTCCGCTTGAACAGGGTTCGTTGTCGGTGTCGCAAAGGACGTTGTCCGTTTTTGACGAACGTCGCTTGCCCAGCAGCTCCCGCTGTCGGTTTTGGGCAATGTTCTGTTCCTTCCGCCCCCATTTCGGGCCTGCCGATTTCAGGCATGGGAGAGCGAGAGAGAGAGAGAGAGGGAGAGATAGCATGTAGATGTGCCTGCTCCTTCGTTTTTCGACCTTATCCAGTGCCTAATGTTTTGAAGCATCGTTGGGAAACAAGACGACCGCTATCGCCAACTTTCCTGGCGGGCCGTGCCTTTGTCTGGAATGTTGAGGGGAACTATCCGTGGGCCGATTCATGCCTGAGTTAACAGCCTGTTTGGCATGCCCATCAGCCTGTTAGTGCGTGCACGGGAATGATTTGTAGTGTTTGATTCGGGTCGCTCCCTTTGCGTCGCCCCGACGCTGCTTGCCGTCAACGTGCGGGCTCAAGCTGAAAGGCAGGGTTTTTTTTCGCTCGATGGTCGTCACGCCGACCCAGGCCGCCATCGTGGGCTGGATCTCCGCGCTGACCCCCTCGCTGACGGGCTGGCTTGCAGGCAGGGCCGCCGCCTCGTTGGGCACTGGCGAGGCCAGCTGCTGGCAGGAGCCAGTGTGGGAGGTGGTGTGCCAGTGCGTGTGCGACGCCCTCGCACCCCCGCCGCCGCCGCCCCCCTCGCCGCAGCCGGCGAGCCTGGGCGTCGCCGCGGCGGAGGTTCCCCCAGCGGTCCTCGCCCCGTGGCTGGTCCTTGAGGCCTACGCCGCGGGCGGGCTGCCGCTGGTGCTCGTGCTCCGCGTGGTGGAGGGGCTCGTGGCGCTGTGCTGCTGCTGGAGGCGCCGTCGGGCGTCCTGGCTCCCAGCGGAGTCGCAGGGCCGTCGCGTGGTGACCCATGAGGTATCAGTGGCTGCCCGTCACCCAGCTGCTCGCGGCTCTCGCATGTGACTGTGAGTACCGACGCGAGAGGATAGTGGAGTGGCCCCGCCACGCCAGTCCGCGGATCGTGTGGACGCTGGGGGGTCACTTGTGTGTCGAGGAGGAGGCTGTTCGGCAGCTGATATTCATGATGACCGCTGGACAACCTCCCCGCTCACATCCCATCGACGACGTCAGGACGGTGGCTTTCGATCGTGTGCCGACGGGACAGGAGCTTCGCTGGCTAGTGCGCGATGCTAGGTCGGAGGCGCAAGCTCTTCGGGCGAGCGGGCCCGACCGCGGTGAGCCGCCTGACCCCACGCATTTCCTGGACGAGGACGGCCGTGCGACGTCTCTGGTGGGCCGCCGCGTGGCTGGTAAGAGGCCGGCGTCGGCGGCAGGTGCGCTGCCGGTAGGTGGGGCCGCCACCATGCCGGGAACTCCGTCGCTCCCGCCTCCCCGGGAAGCGCCGCCTCTGGAGCTCGAGGTGGGCTGGGTTGCCGTGCCTCGCGAGGTTGGTGGCCGCTGGATCGTCAGTGACGTCGGCCTGAAGATGCTGTTGGGCGCGCTCGTGCCCGCCAGGCCGATGCCGCGCCTCCTGGGAGACTGCCCGCTCGCCTCGCTCCACGACGGCGCTGCCGGCGCTGGGGACGCCATTGAAGGACGTGGGGATGTACGTGCGTTGTCAGTAGGCACTGACGCGCAGAATGTGCGGTATGCGAGCTGGAGGAGTTTCGAGCTCGAGTGCTTCCCGTCCAGTTACGCAGCCTGCCCAGTGGAGAGCCCGCCCAGCGTGATGCGCATCCTTGGGCAGACTGAGAGGCACGTAGGCGACATCAGGTTAAGGCTCGACATCTGCGCGCGCTCTGAGAACGTTGGTGCCCGCAGGTGCGTGTACCACAAGATGTCTTTTCTTACGGAGGTGCTCTGCGTGAGAGGCACCCGTGACCAGCTCGACTTCGCGTCGCTCGTCAGCTTCGAGTTCGCGGCCAGGCGCACCCACGGCGTCGTAGGCGCGTATTCGCGCGATCCATCGCGGCCGCGGTGGGCCATGGCCAAGCTGTGCTCAGTGGTCGGGTCGGCGGTGGAATTGATGGCGCCTGAGACGAAGCACCGCGTCGCTAAGAAGGCCGAGGACGAGGGGGGAACGGAGCCGTGGAGGTATCGGTTGCACGCGCTGCCGGTGGCCGCCGTCGCCTCTGCCGCAGGAGGTCCATCAGGCAGTGGAGGCGCAGTTCCAAGCGCCCCGAGGGGCCCGTCGCCGAGGGGGGCGCCCAGACTGGCGCCCTGGGGCTGCATGGGCCAGGAAGGGGCGCTGGTATCATGCATGACACGACCCTCGGCGATGGGTCTGGCCTGCCCACCGCCGTTCGCCTTGCGCGGCCTGCGTGCGGATCCCCCGAGATGTTCCCGCCGCCCGTCGACCCGACTGCCATTTCGGAGTTCTGGGTGCACCTTGCGCCCCGCCGACAACGTTGTTTTCTTCGTGATTGGCGTAGTTGCGTGGAGTCACTTAATTGGCAGTGGGGCGTTGGCCGCCGTGACCTCGGACGCAGTGCTCGAGGAGGTGTGCGTCCCTACCGTCGTCAACTTCAGGTCTCAGTTCTGAGGCGCGTGGCCGAGGGCGTCCAGCTCTATGGCGACCCGCCTCTTTCGCGGGGCTACTTCGAGGCCGCGGCGTCTATGACACCGAGACGGCCCGCTGCGCTGGCGCCCTGCCGCCGAGGCGCGGCCTTTCCCGAGGGCGCGTCGATTGCTCCTGTGGTCGCCTCCTTGGCGCGGGGGCGCGCGCGTGAGTTTTGGGAACAGGCAGAGGGGCAGATGATCAGGGCCGAGGCGGAGGTCCAGCTTGACCGTGGCACCAACGGTGAGATCCAGGTCTACACCGACCCCTCGCTGGCCGGCAGCCGCCGCCGCTACTCGACGTTCGTGAAGGATTTGAGGCGGCGCGGACTGGTCGGCTTCGCGCGCCGCCCGAAGGAGTTCGTCGGCGTGTTCTTCGTATGGAAGAAGGAGAGGCAGTCCATGAGGATGGTGCTGGACCTGTCGTCGCTCCAACCAGCGCCTGGGCCGCGTCGAGTTCGACGCGACGGAGCGCGGCCGGGCCCCCATTTTGAGGCAAGGCGGACGTCGAGGAATGCTTCCACCGCGTGGTTTTCGGCGGCGCGTTGTGCGAGTATTTCTGCTGCCCGGGGCGGTTGGCCAAGGAGTTTTGCGTCGTGCGCGAGCTGATCCGTGGGGCACCCGCTCGCGCTGATGACTGCGCGTGGCCTTG